AGCAAGGTGGAGGTAAAGTGGGAGGCAGGGTTGGACATGCAGGACCTGGTGATGATGGGAGTTTGAATTTTATTTGAAATGCATTGGAAAGTCAATGAAGTTGTTTAAACAAAGGAGTAGTGTGATTAGGTTTTTCTTCTACTCATAATTCTGGAGACATAAGAAAGGTGGCAAAACTGGAGGCAGGAGATCTCATCCAGGCAAGAGGTGATGGTATCTTATAGATTTATAGGAGCGCTATGGGCTCCACATTTGAGGGAGAAGTGGTTGTGACTCCTGGTGTTCTGTTGAGAGCAACTAGGCAGATGGTGGTCTCATTAAAGAGGTAAGTAAGGTTGGGGTAAAGCAGTCAAGAGTTCTATTTTGGACATGTAGAAATGTCAAGTAGGCAGTTAATTATACTAGTCTGGTGCTCAGAGAAGAGGCCTGGTCTTAAGATATAAATTTGGAAGCCCTTTAGCATATCAGCAATGACTCAAAGCCATAGAAGTTGAGATCATTTAGAGAGAGAATATGGATGGAAAGAGGGCCCAAATGGGGCTCAGGTGAGCTCCAGCATTAAAAGGTTAAGTAGAGGAGGGATGTATTTTTAAGGAATTTATATTTGAAACATATTGATTGTACATATTTATGAGGTACAGAGTTATATTTCAGGACATGTATACAATGTGTAATGATCAAATCAGGGTAGTTAGCATATTCATAACTGCAAAAATTTAGGTGTGCAGGTAATTCTGCATGAGGAGGGATTTTTAAATGCAGAATTATTTGAGAAGAGATCATACATTCATAGATTGCTTTAAAAGTCAGGTGGATTAAGATCCAAATCCAATCTTGGCACAAAAGCTGTCCCTCGAAGAGGAAGATGTCATGTGTCCCCCTTTCCAGGCAGTTACTCTTGAGAGGAATGGCCCCAAACAGTGCTGAAATTTTTTTTTGTGCCTGACGTGTTGCATATGCCTTCAAGTTACCTGCAAGGCTGTTTTTAACTGTGAACTGGTTCACTTTACCTTTCAGAAACATTTTTAGCTTAGTACCTTTCTGCTCAGTCTTTTGTTCTCAAAGCTGTAGAATTTTTACCTTGCAAAATTCATTGTCTAAAAAAGGAAACTTAAAATCGTACAGTTGTGTTTTGTGAAACAAGTGGACAGTTCTGGTGTCAGACATCATAGGATTTCTTCTCCAGTTTGTTTACTGTTTTTCAGACTTTGCCATCATGAAAAAATTAATTTTTCTTTATGAATGCCTGTATTGCTTCTCAGCATTTACTGAGAAACACTAAGCCACCAGGCAATAGTAACAATATATTTTTTTTTTTTTTGTCTTTTTGTCTTTTTTCGTGACCGGCAACGGATCGCAACCCTCAGTGTTGCGCCCGTACCGGACCGGGACCAGCAACGGGATCGCAACCCTCGGTGTTGCCCCCGCTCCTCGCTCAGCCAGTGAGCGGGAACTGGTCTGCATGTGGGATCCGAACCCTCGGTGGGAGCGCCGCCGCGCTTCCCAAGCGGCGCACTGTAGCAGTGCGCCACCGGGCCGGCCCTACAATATATTTTTTTAAGTGTTTCAAATCTACCTCTGAGGAGTTCAGAAAATTTTCTAGGAAAGATGGATGTATGCTCTCCCATATGCACCCTTAGTTTACTTGTATATTTTGTAGGTTGACTTTGTCTTTTGCCCTTGCATGGTATTTTCACTTGTTCTGCCTCCAGCTCTTGCTCCCCTTACTTACAGCACTGCTGCCGCTTGTCTTCATAGACCCCTATCCCCCAGAACTGGCAAGCAGTATGGGAGCAGGGCGCTGATAAGAGTATGGGCCAGGCAGCAAAATGCAGAATTGTCTAAAAAGGGAACATGTACATGAAGTTGTCTTAGGGAAGAGGAGCTAAAAGCAAGTTAATCAGCTTTTTTCTCTAGAATTATTTCAAGGTAACCTCTGAGTTGGGGTGGTCAATTTCAGGGAGTTTTCAATTTAACAGTCTTGATTTTGTAAGCCTGGCTAACAAAATAACTTTTTTCCTTCTGCAGCTGAAAATGGTGATGGTATCCACATATATTTGAAGTGATGTCTTATGTAGACTGAACTATATTCAGTACCAAATAAAGTCACGCTTAAAAGTGTGTGAAGACTGAATCCAAGAAGTCTTGGGATTGGATTTTACTGTATGAAATGTTTCATATTGAAAACACAAGATGACCCTTCCAATGAGCTGTATGAGAGGCGAATCTCGTCATTGTCACTGCCGTAGCCAGGCATCCTCATGAGAGTGAGCACTTCAGGACAGCGTGCATCGAGCTCTGGAGGCCACAGTGCAGGCACAGCTGCCTGCTTCTCTGGCAGAGGCCAGTAGATACAGTTCTTAGAAACAGCCTTTGCTGTCTTTTTACACTGTATGCGGTTTGGAAATGAATGTAAAAACTTACTGTGGGCATTTCCTGTCTGTGCCAGTTTGGCTTTTATTGCCTGAACCGTATGCTGACCTGGGGAGGGGATGGGGGACAGTGCTGTCGTGGAGCCAGCATGGAATATGTGTGGAGAGATGCACTGTGCTGATGTGGCCACTGGTGGTCAGGTAAGAGGCTTGGCACTTCTTGGAAGAAATCATGTCTAAGGGTGTACATCTGATGTGATCATGCCAGATTGGGGAAGATCTAAGCCAAGAAGATGAGCTTGAAGCAAACTGCATTATCAGGAGTACCTTGATGAGAGGATCAGTGTAAATCCTAATAGGTACAAAGACTTTTGTGTTTTTGCTTTGTCGTGGATTTATTCAAAAACTTTTTTGCTTCCATTTTTAGCATTTTAGTTTCTGGTTTTCATTTTTTGAAGCCTCCTTGCCTTTTAAACCTTTGGTTTTTTTCTTTCCCATTTTCCCCCCTCCCTCCATCTCTGACCACCCCCCATGCCATCTTATTCTTAAACATTTTTAAAGCCCTTCCAGACATTGGAAATAGCTTCTGACTTTGTGTTAAGGGATCTTTGTTATGAACAAGATGAAATTATTCATGGAAACACTAGATGTCATAAATTAAACACTAAAATGTACCATAGTAATCCCTTACATCTCTCCTCAAATATTGAGCTTTAGTACAATCATGGATAAATATTCTGGTGATTATTTAGAGGCTTTTTATGCACCACATAATAGCTAATTTTTCTATAAAAAGGGTGCCTCTTTCATAAAACCAAATGCTTGTTTGCTAGCGTATTTTTCAAAGGGGATCCACCGTTTTCTTATTTTTCTCCTACTACCTTTATCTCCACCCTTAACCCAAAGCCTTCCCAAGATTGATGAGCAAGCATTTTCGAGACCTGTGCTATAGCAGACCAAAATTTTTTTCTAAAACTTCTGTTCCATTTTAATTATAGCATCTCTGTCCATTTAGCCAGGTGTTTTGGCTTTGAATGTACCATTTAATCCTCATCTTTGTTTAGGTGGAAATAGGAATAAGTAATTTTTAGTTTAAAATCTCTCCCAGAAGATAAACTACTTCAGTGGGTAAAAGCTTTGATATTTTGTTTATTCATAAAGGGGGTTAATTATTTGCTACAAAGAAGCACTGTCTCAATATTTTCATCTTTGGTTTGAAAACATCTGTAACTCCTTTAGATCCTATAGGAGGAGAGCTTTCCTTTCTGTCCTTTTCTCTTTGCTTTTGTATGACCACATGTTTTCTGTACCAGTCACTTTGGGAAAGAAGTGAGCTTATCTCTTAATTGTTTGAGTTTTGCTTGTCTATTTAGCATTCCTTTTTGGGTCTCAAGATTTATGGAACAATAAATGTCATTTAATGCTGTGTGCTATTTTGAATTCCTCATCAGGTTTTAGAAGTGGGGTAAAAACACTTAGAAGCTCATGAAACTTGAAATTACACTGAGCAGCATTAAACATTAGTCTGTCCCAGTGAAACAGGTTAAATAAATTATGGCACCAGCAAATTTGCTACTTTGTTTTTTTAATAGTAGTATGTACACATTTCAGTATAATAAATGTTTTCCGATTGTTTTGCAAACGTTGTCTCATTTAAAATTCCAGTTCTTGCCAGTGCCACCTCAAATCATAGAATGAAGGGGTGGGTTCTGTATGTGTTCCAGGCATACACCAGTTGAAATGTTATAAGAAGTTAGGCCCATGTCGGGTTCCCCCCAACCCTTTATTTTCTCAAAGCTGATGCAATCGAGCATAGATTATCCCAGTAACTGTTCCATACTTTAAGAGGAAGCAAACTTGATTTTCTTACAAGAGGGTTCTCCTACTTTGTAAATGAGGTCATGGGTCATTGAGCTTTGAGCCCAGTAACTGTGATTGATAGGTTGAATCCTGGCTCAAAAGAGAATGTATAGAAGGCTCTGGTGATTTAAGTTATTTTAAAATAGAGACTGTAATTCTTAATCACTGAAGCAAGTCTGTGTTACTTGCTCATTTGTTTATTTAAATGGCTTCAGTCATTCTCCCCCACCCCAACAGTGGTATAAATGTGTATTTAAACAACTGCTATGGTATTCACACAATTTTTAGACCAGGTCATAAGACAATAAAATCGTCAGGACTTCAATGCTGATTCTGACAGTCTTGCTCAGTCAATTTAGAGGGGTAAATATGTAACTGCCTTCTCTCCCTCTAATGCAGTTGAGGCAGTGTGTACTTAAAAATGCTTCTAAAATTGTTTTTCTGATAGAGGTATTGTTAGTTACAGGGAATTATTTTGTTTTTGCCGTTTCACTTCAGCTTCTCATGAGCTAGCTCCTCAGCCTTCAGTTTGGGGAGTGGTTGAAGGAAGGGTCAGCTACCATTAACATCTGTCACAGGATGGTGATGGCTTCCTAATCTTCAGTAAACATCACAAATGTGGATACCACAGAGCAAGAATTGGCCACAGCAAAAAACTGGTTAACTTAACCATATTTCAGATAACATTAGGAAGGTAGGTCTGAATTTGGAAAACGGTTTTGCACAGATTTGTCTGTCACAAAAAAGCAATAAAACCCTCTGACTTAGTTTTTTTTAAGCATTGCAATGGTTTATTCATTTTTATGAGTCTAAAAGGTGCCAACACTTTACTGATCTGAGTTTGAAGTGTGTAAAATTTTTGAATAGTTCTGGTGTAACCTGATTTCTAAGATTTTAAAATAAACTTGAAAAAAGCCACATTCATTCTACATGCATCCATTCATTGTTTTTTTTAATTGATTATATTATAGAAAACTTAAGTCTTATTCAATTCTGTTTCTTTAAGATCCCCCAAATTTTGTGAGAGTATGGACATAATTAGCTTTTTTCCTATAACAAAAATGTATTATGTGCTGTAGCATACGCCAGAGCTTATAATTTCCAATCAGGCAACACAAACTCTGAGTTGCTTTTGTTTAGTTTTTGGTCCCTGTAGGTGTATATGACAGAAACAGAAAGGTGAAGACCCTGCTCCACCCAGTGTAGAGTCCTCATTTCTTTGGTGTCTCATGGAAATCTATTAACATGCCTTCCACATAAGTTTCTACATAAAAAAACTTATCAGGCGTTGTGAATTTTCAGTACAGTCACTTTGATAAAGTTGCTATTTAATCTTCAAAGTGGAGAAGTCCTGCTAATCAAAATGGAATCATTGTGAATTAAAGTAGGCCACTGGCTTAAGTATCACGTAGAAAATCAATAGCATATATATTTTTTTCTGCTCATTTTGTGCTAAAACACTGATGATCCGTTTGAGGAATGCTGATAAAGCCAAGGGTAGGACTTTTGTACCTAGGTAGGTATCCACCTCTTAAGAGTTTCAGGTTTGTTGCATGGTCCTGGCTGCACTAAGACCACTCTTGCCACGTGTTAACTGACACAATGCTTTGATCTGATTGCATCACAGCGGAATAAAGGTGAAAGAGTTACTGCATTCCATATAGAGGTCTTTTTACCTGTAAATGCCCTTCCCAATGGAGAATCAACAGATTTGGATGATGGTGGAGTAGTTCAGAAGACTCGGGTCTTCTCTGGAGGAAGATAACATCACGTCATTCCTTGGGCTCAGATAGCTGCTGTCAGAGAATGATACAGCATCTACACAGTCGCTGTCCACTTCCTGCTACTGCTGTTGGTGGGGTGACAGGAGCGAAGTAGGCATGGACTTTGACATGAGGGAGCTGAGCCTGGAAGTAGAAAACAGGAGGAGTCTATGGTGGTATTTTTAGGATTATGGTCATAAATCTAGAAAAGCCTGTAGTCCTCCATTAGAATCTACCACACTTTAATATAACTGGACAGACAGTTAAATAGAATTTCTGCTGTAGGCTAGAGCTACTCCTGTTACATCCCTCCCCAGCCCCCAAACAATACCTTCTAAAGACAAATGGAAACTCATAAGTTGATATCTTTCCACCCAGCCCTGTTTGCAAACTTAGCGAAGTCCTTTACAGCTGCAGCACACTGGATGGGGCTGCTTTGGTATGTAAATATAAAGTTGCCTAAGCTTAAATAAAGCATGATAAGGAAAATGATGTAGGTGAACTATACGGGGAAAGAAAGCCAAATTCTATTAAGCTCTCTTACTTGGAAATTAGCCAAAATCATGTTCTATCTCCTACTGATAATGACTTTCAACCTTCAGTTGCTTTCCTTTAACAGATGCCTTCTTATAAGGGTGCTGATCACCAGACTACATGGAACCTCCACTCCAAACCCACTCAAATTGGATCTTGCAGGGTGGGTTCTAAGCAAGGACATCGTGAAGAAGTCTAAGGTGACACCTATGTAACCAGATCAGTTTGCATAACTATTGCCTTAAATAGAATGGAGAAAATGGACATTGAGTTTTGACATACTCCTTTGTTGCTTAGAAATTATGCCAGGCATAACCAACTCCCCTGCCTCATACCTACCCGCATCCGCTTGATGCCTGTGCGGGTAACCTGCTGGCAGTCGTACAGTTCCAGGCGCTCCAGACCACGGCAGTTCTCTAGATGTTCCAGTGCCACATCAGTGATGAGGAGGCAGTTGTCCAGCTCCAGTACCCGCAGCCTCTCATGGCCACAGGTGCTGTTGCTCAGGTGCAGGATCCCATCATCTGTGATGAGCTCACAGTGGGACAGGCTCTGGATCAGGGAGAAAGGAGCAAATGTTTGCAGGACCCTCTCACTTCAAGACTCAAGGCCTTAGGAAAAGCAGGGAAGCTGGCCATTTTGCCCTTCCACCTTCTACCATGGGATGATGCAGCAAGAAGGCCCTTGCCAGATACTGCCCCCTCAATCTGAATGCAATGTCAGTCTTGAACTTCCAGCCTCCAGAACTGTGAGAAATAAATTTGTTATAAATTACCCAGTGTGTGATACTCTGTTATAGCAGCACAAAATGTACTAAGACACTACTTATTCAGGCAGGGAGGGTCAAACACAAAGCTTTGGGGCCCTTTGGTCACTGGTTGGCTACAACTGGGCAGTAGCTTCTCACCTTTCTGACTGTAAAGATGGAAATAAAAGTTTCAGGGGAAATTTCAGAGTTTACCCCCTTGAGAACAGTTTTATTGCCCAATTCTCCATTTGATGGGAGGCCAGTGAAATCAATGACTCCAATGTCCTTGTTCATTTAGGAACTTGTGCAAACAGCCATAACTCAGAGATATACTGAGCATCTTAGAAGGTTATAATTAAATATACCTTGAACACTGTGATCTGACACCACTGGCTTCTTTTGGGTAAACGGTAAAGGTTGCAGAAAGTAAATTCAGATTAATATTATATAGCCACATGACATTCCTATAATTTTCCTAAGTTCTCCATATCAATAAATAGTTTCAGACCTCACAGTTTCCCTCCGTGCATCTCAAATGTAATATTCACCCCAACATGAAAGTCTTCACAAGCGAAAAGTTCTGCATAAATGGTCCCAATCGTTCATTTGTGCCTTCAAATATATAAGTTCCAACTCTGGCAGGCCCTATGTGTGGAATGGCAAGTAAAAATATACATTTTTCTGCACTGGTCTAGTGAGAGTCTAGAAATGAAATAGCACTAATTAAACACTAAAGCCGAGGTAAGTACTCTGAGAGCATATGGTAGTGGGATTTGATCTGAGAAAGATAGCACTGAGTTGAATACTGAAGAAGGAGGAGCGAAGTAGGAAAGAACAGAACTTGTGTGGAAGCCCCAGGGGTGGCAGGGAGCACAGTTCCAAGTACTGAGTTTGGGAAGATCAGAATAATAGCTGAGAAGTAAGAGGACACATCTAGATGCAGAAGGAATGGGAGTGGTAGGGACCAAGTCAGAGTTGTGAAAGCCACATAAAGGAATTTTGATTCCAAGGTCACTGGGAGTTTTAAGAAGGATGTGATGTTACATTTGTTTTTCAAAACGACCACGTATCACTACATACTCACCAGAATGGCTGTGATGAAAAAGATGGAAAATAAGTGTTGGTGAGGATGTGGAGCAACTGGAACTCTCATATGCATGCTGCAGTGGGAATTTGGATATTCCTGACTGAAATGCATGCATGTTAACCCAAAAACATAGCAATACTGGTTGTAATAGCTCCAAAGTAGATACTACTCAATTATTCAATAGTAGAAAGGATAAATCAGTGTACCCATTCCATAAAGCAATGAGTGAACAATGTTCAACTACATGCAGCAATATGGATGAGTCACAAATGTAATATTGTGTGATGAAACCAAACACAGAAGAGTACACATGATCATACAATTTAAATAATAAAATACAGAAACGGCAATGGATTAGTGACTGGAAGGGAGCAGAAGGGGGCTTTTCGGGGGTAATGGTAATGTTGATCCTTAATCTCGGTGTGTGTGTTTAGTTTATGGAAATGCATTGATCCACACACCAATAATAAGTACATTTTCTGCATGTATATTTACTTTAGTAAAAAGTTAAATTTGAGGGCTGGCCCGGTGGTGCACTGCTACAGTGCGCCGCTTGGGAGTGCAGTGACGCTCCCACCGAGGGTTCGGATCCCACATACAGACCGGTTCCCGCTCACTGGCTGAGCGAGGTGCAGGCGCAACACCGAGGGTTGCGATCCCGTTGCCGGTCCAGTCCGGTACGGGCGCGACACTGAGGGTTGCGATCCGTTGCCGGACACGAAAAAAGACAAAAAAGGGAAAAAAAAAAAAAGTTAAATTTGAAAAAAAACAAAAAAAATCCCCACAAAAAAACCACACTGACTACCAAATTATTGAGTACAAAAGTAGACACAGTTGAGAGCTAGTGGGAGGCTACCACAATTTGGGGGGCAAAGAAATGACTGATAGTTTGGACCTGATGAATTCTGGTGGGGGAGACAGAGATAAGTGGGTGGGTGTGAGGTATTTCCACAAAATGACCAAACATTCCAATTAAAAGAAGAGATTATCAGATTAGGTAAAAGCAAGGCCCAACTATATGTCTTCTCTAAGAGACACTCTATATAAAAGCACATATAAACTGAAAGATTAATATCATAAAATGGCCTTCAAGACAAAGAGTGGTAAAGAGGAACATTTCATAGTCATAAAAAGGTCAATTCAGGGGCTGGCCCGGTGGCGCACTGCTTAAGTGCGCCGCTTGGGAAGTGCGGCGGCGCTCCCGCCGAGGGTTCGGATCCCACATACAGACCGGTTCCCACTCACTGGCTGAGCGAGGCGCGGGAGCAACACCGAGGGCTGCGATCCCGTTGCCGATCCCATTGCCGGTCCCGGTCCGGTACGGGGGCGACACTGAGGGTTGCGATCCATTGCCGGACACGGAAAAAGACAAAAAAAAAAAAGGTCAATTCAGGGCCGAGCCAGTGGCGCACTCGGGAGAGTGCGGCGCTGGGAGCGCAGCTGCATTCTCGCCGCGGGTTCGGATCCTATATAGGGATGACCAGTGCGCTCACAGCGCTCACTGGCTGAGCGCGGTGCGGCCGGTCACAAAAAGGACAAAAAAAAAAAAAAAAGGTCAATTCATCAGGTAAGACATAATCATCATGAATTTGTGTGCACCCAGATCCAATAAGGATAAACTAAATATCTTAGCCATAGGAGGTCCATGTACTGGAGGCGGGGTTTGGCCCCAGCAGTTGGTTTAGACATGTAGGTCCCCAAATGTGTGCATGGGAGTCACTGCTTTGGAGTGTCTGGAGCAGCTTAATGGGTCTTATGTATCTCGACATTCAGAGATCACTAGAAAGTCTGAATAAGCCAGGGTCCTCAATTTGGAGCAAACCATAGGCTGTGCCACTTCCTTCAGGTGGTGCCACAGAACAGCAGCCCTTTAGACAATCAGCTTTTCAAAGCCTCATGGAGACAGTTGAGAGGAATGAGTCTAGTGCCTCCTTGACAGTGCCCATGAGGCTCTGGTCACTGCCTCTTGTTCAGCCTCATCTCCTCTCTTCCTCCCACACCCTAAAATCCAGCCAGGGCTTTTGCAGATCCACTAAAGAACACGTGCTATTTCCTCTGACGAAAGCCTTCAAGCCCTGCTCCACCTTACTTGTGCTCCTGCTTCAAGAACTTGCTCAGGAGCTGAGAGAGAGATTTAAATAGAATGATGGCTTTGCTAAGTGAGGAAGGATCAAGTGAAACTTTCCTAAGTAAATCTTGAGGATCAAGGGAGAAATTTAATAATTGGCCATAGAACTTAGGCTGAGTGGGGAAGGGGGAAGGAACAGCAAAAGGGTGGATCAACGGTGAAAAAATGATGAAATCAAAGGGTTCAATTACTGTAGCTGGGCAACAGAAGGGGCGACTGGGAAAGGTGAGAGATGCGGGTCACACGGCAGGGTGTGAAACCAAGACACGACATGCGTTCTATGTTACATTGTTATTTTCAAAGTTGTCAAATGTTTCCACTTTAGATGGGAGAAAATAATAATTTAAATATCACCAAGTCTTGCATCCCTATTTTTTCCTCTAGGGCAGTGAGTAGCGGCTTGATAAGATTCTCTCACATAGCCAAGAGTAGGCTTCCACCAACTGGCTACTTGTCATTCTGAGGGGAGAGTGACTGATTTGACATCTGACGGACTTTGCTTTCTACGCAACATCACTGTCCCTTGATAAATCGGGATGAAAAATAAAACCTCATAACAATAAAGTAATATATTTTCTTTCTGGCAGTATTCCTTATTCTTTAATAGAATAAGTCGTGTGCCACATAATGATGTTTTGGTCAATGATGGACTGCATATATGATGGTGGTCTCATAAGATTATAATACTGTATTTTTACTGCACCTTTTCTATGTTTAGCAATGTTTAGATACACAAACACTTACCATTCTACAGTATTCGGTACAGAAACATGTTGTACAGGTTTGTAGCCTAGAAGCCACAGACCACATCATGTAGCTTAGGCGTGTTATAGCATCTAGGTTTGTGTAAGTACACTCTACGATGTTTGCACAATGATGAAATTGCCTAACAACACATTTCTCAGAAGGGATCCCTGTTGTTAAGCAACACTTGTATAACAGACCAATAAAATTCCACTTGGACAGCTTCTAGGACAAATGAATTACAAAATAAAACAATTTTTAAAAAACTTCAAACTGGTTTTGGTACTGAAAAGGAAACCAGCCCCTTCCTTCCCTCAGTCAACACATCCTATCAGCCAAAAACTCAAGTGACCAAGAGGATCCTCAGCCTCCTCTGAACAAATTTCGTGACTACAGATCTTCCAGGTCCTACTCTTTTGTATTCTTTTGAATCTGGGAATCCCCTTGTTTGTAAATGTATATTTGACTTATTTTCAAATAAACGTGATCAGTTTTCCCTTCTGAATAGCTTTATGAATTCTGTTTTCATGTGAGTACAAGGCCCTTCCTCCCTTGAGGATCACAGAGCAATTTCTGGAAGGGGTAGTTTATGTGCACGCTGGCCTCACTCATGTATAAAGGAGAACCTGACAACCTGAAGTGTTAGGAACTGAGGTGCGGTAGTCATGTGGCTTCAAGCTGGAGTCACTTCCCACATTTCTTCCCACTTGCAGATCTTTAGTAAAAGATTAAAACCATATTTCAAATTTCTGAGTCTATGTTGTTTTCCCCTCAACAGTGTTGCCTCCTTTAAACCCTGTAGATTGGGGGAGGAATCCCTGATGTGGGTCCCCAGAGCAGCCTATGTGCAGGTCTGTCACGCACGGTCAGTGCTATCTGACCCTCCCAAGTTTCCTTAGGGTGGAGACCAGGATGCTCCTTTGGGGCCACCTGCCCCAGCACAAGGCCTGCAGAGAGAAGACATGCACCTGTTACATGGTGTGCTTGGGGGCCAAGGGCCGTGCTGGCTGGCCTCCCTATCTCCTCCATGTGCTGCCATTATGTCAAGTCAGACCGTGAGCCGGCTGAACATCTGAGCTGTGGGACCCACTGCAGTAAAAACCTACACTTGAATTTGCCCTCGGCTTCGCTTGAGGGTTGACAGAGGTGCTGCTATTACTGTCCATTACCAAAGTGGGTAGTGGTCCGCATGTATCCCTCAAACAAGGATCTAGAACACATACTTCTCTGGGACTTCAGAGTCAAGACAAAGTTGGTCTCTCCTGATGAATTATCGTATTCTTCAGTGCCTAGAACAGTGCCTGGCATGAGGTGGACATCAACAGTTTGTAGAGTGAATTAGATGGATAGGAAATAGATGCAATCCAGGGTGTTTCCCTTTTCTGTCCTGATTATTAGAATCTCAAAGCTAAGTTAGTACTTCAACTGTACTTTCCTGACTTTTCTGCTAATAATTCTTTATGTTATTTATTTTGGGCTCTTACCTTAGACTTCAGGTTTTATTATAGCTTATATTTCACTCTAAGTCCTCTTTCTGAGAGGAGCTTGAATAAACGTAGGGGACAAAATGGAGAAGATTTTCAGTCACCAGAAACCTCATTGGGAAGAACACTGTTTATTTGGGACATTCCCTGACAATTGCTGGGGCGGACCCTGTACCCCTGAAGAGAAGACAGGAAGGGCAGGAGTCAGGGAGAGAGTGAAAGGCTTGCAATGCTCACTGTAAGCCCTCCTCAGGCTCCTGGTACCTGTTGTGAGGAGACTTCCTGTGGAACCTGATGAAGGGGTAGGTGTCCTGGTCTAGGGTCTCTTGGGGTAGGACAGAGATAGCACTTGGGGCAGCAGAGAGGTTGGAGGTTAGAACAGGAAACAAAAAATGGGGCTCCAAACATTTCCCAGATCTCTCAGAGGTCAGAGGTCTCAGGGGACAAACAGGTGGGGGGATGAAAGGAGAACGCACATCTGAATCACTGGTTCTATCAGTTACCAATCCGGATCTGAACCGATTAAGCGGTAAAGACATCATGAGAACTACAAAATTATCTGCAATACATAGAGAAAAACAATTTACTCAGAGAATTTGGATGCAGCTAGGTTCCTGACTAGTCTCTGAAATCTGATCCAAACGCTTTTTAAAAGTCCCAGAGGTGTCCAAAGCCCAGCCACACTTGTGCCTGAGGGCGAAAGTGTCCAGAGGGAATATGGAAATAAAGAAAATCAGTGGGGAGATTAAGTCCAGGCCAAATGATGTTACAGAATTCTAGCTCCTGAGGACAAAATAAGTTTCAAAAAAGACCTAAGGGAAAGCTGGTTTAAGAAAAATCTGTTGCACACATCTCAGGGCAGTGGAAAGACCAGACTCAGTGGAGGCCAAGTGATACGGTGCCTTGGAGCAGGTGTGTCACTTTGGGCAAGCCCCTTAACCACTTTGAGCCCTGTTTCTTTACCGAAAAAATGGGGCTGTTATCCAGAAGGTCAGATTTCCGAGATTAGGCAGAGCACAGGTTCCCATACGTGGGCTTTCTCCCGGATGGGGACTCTTCCCCTGCTCCAGGCTCCCGGTCCAACAGCTGGATGTGAAATGTGCACGAGATGTCTGCACAGCTAAGAGGGTCAAGGGCTCTTTTCACTGCTCATTTTGGATCTTTCAATATATTCCCCTTCTTTTCTCCCCTGCAGATATATATATGAGCAGATATGAAATGTAAATAACACACAAGGATGGCCTCAATCTTTTGTGTTATGACATTATAACATGCTAACTTTCACTCCACCTGACGAGATGAACATGATCTTGAATGAAGTGATAAGTGCATGGATCCCTATTAGGTTCACATCCTTAAATGAAAGCAGTGACATTTAGATATCCTGCCTCTCAAGTTAACCCAACTAACATATCTTTGAAACCAAGAATGATGATATCTTTACAGAAAGGGAACCCAGATTCTTGCTTAGCAAGGAGAGTTCTTTCATTCCTAAGAAGCGAATAATGTCACAAAAAACTCAGACTCACCAGGGCTTGCAGTTTAGGACAGTGAATGGAGAGCTGGATGAGTGTGCTGTCGGTTATCTGGAGGGAAACACGCTGTGTCAGTGTGGCTTCTACACCAGAACTTAATACCTAATCCTGGCTTCTCCTGAACACGAGAATCAAAAGGTGCAAGAGAGAATTACAAACTCATCTCAAGCACATTTGGGCTGGGAGCTCCTTTCTTCACCAGCAACCTCAAATCTGCCCACTCCTGGAGATGTAAAACTGTTCTCTGGGTTCTCCTCTGGTGCCCTGAGGGTGCCTAGGGGCAGAGGACAAAGAAGGAGTGGGCAAGGAAGGCTCCCCAGGATTCTTCTGTCTGGAGTCACCCCATACTGGACATGCAAGCCTGTTTCTCCCTAAAGTTCTAAAAAACAAAAGGAGTATTTTTGTTTACTTGTTTTTATGTTTGGCAAAAGACAGAGCTATCCTGATCTTCTCTGCTGTAGCTCTGTCTGATGACTGAGAATAGCCAAAAATTTATACATCCATGGCCCTCACAGGTTCCCAACCCCAACCACCTATGCTGGGCAAGGAGGGTCAGGACGACAGCCAGCCCATGTCTCAGGCTGTGCTGGGCTACCTGGTAGTGACTGAGGGGCACCCCGTAGGGCTGTCAGGAGGCCACTCACCAGGATGCATTCTTCAAGATCCATCTTTTCCAGGTCATGGCAATTCTGGAAGAGACCACAAGACACACCCCACCATGTGGGTCAGTGAATAGGGCAACACTGGTGGCTTGCCATGTCCCAGTGTCCTTTTTCTCTTCCAGTAGGGAATGTGCTCTGTTCCTAAGGCAACCCAGTGAACCAGCACTTCTGAGCGGGTGCCCTTTGACACACAGTCACATTGAAAATGGGAACAGGGCTGCCCTGGGCTGCATTTCATTCTCTCAACCTGGAGAGAGAGTTGCCTGCACCTTCCCAGTGTCTCACAGACAGCAGCAGGTAAACTTTAGCCATAGAACAGGCTCCGTAGGGGCATGGAGATGGGGTGCTCAGACACACTGTGGGGGGCGAAAAGTGGGGTGGAAGGAGGAGACTAGCAGTATCCTCAGGAGGCTATGGGTTCCTGGCAGCAGGCCCAGAGGGGCCCCCATGGTGGTCAGTGTTTGCCAGGCAATGTAGAAGACAGAGCGGAGGGCCAAGCACGGCCCTCTAGGAGAAGCTGCCAAGAGACCCAGCTAGGGTCCGTACAAAGAAGGGTGTCTCTTGGAGGGAGGAGGCACCTCTCAGGGTGGCCCCACCTGACTGAGAGTGAGGTCGGACCCCTCCTGGAATCCTCCACACTATCTCCCTAGATTTCTGGCTAACTCAAAAAACTTGCAAACACATTCAAAGGTTCTGTTGTCTGTCTTTCCTTTTTTTTTTTTTTTTTTTTTTTTTTTTTTCGCGCCTCGCTCAGCCAGTGAGCGGGAACCGGTCTGTATGTAGGATCCGAACCCTCGGCGGGAGCGCTGCCGCGCTTCCCAAGTGGCGCACTAGCGCAGTGCGCCACCGGGCCGGCCCTGTCTGTCTTTCCTGAAGGTAGTTTTTGCACATCCCCAAACCACTCCGAGTCTTTGAATTTGGGAGGTGAATTACAGTTTGGTTTTGTTTTTTAAAATTTATGCCTTACCCGAGCTAAAAGTGTAAAGCCTGCGTCAGTCAAATGGGAGCACCGGGCAGCTTCCAAAATCCTGGGAAAAGAGCATGCAGGGGAGAAAAAGTACCAACTGGTTAATAATAAACACACATGCATCACAACACACACTCTTGAGTTTATTCTACTCTTTGGCACACTTTTGCTTCTTGTAATAGCCTAAGGGTTGTAAACACAAACACTGCCCCTACTGGACAGATGAGGAGAATCAGGCTGAGGGAGGACTGTGCCCTGCCCAAAGTCCCAAAGTTCCATCTCAAACTCAGAGAATAAATCCACTATAAAAAACTTCCCACTATACCAATATCTTGCTGTTGCTTTTAAATATTATTCTAATATTTGGTGACTTTTAAAACACAATTAAAATGAACTTTTACACAACAAATCATCTTGAGATATACACTGTATTTATTGAAATTCCCAGTTACCCTTCAGGAAATTTTTAAAAATTGTAGGCAATGAAAAACATGAGTTAATTCTCAATCATCACGCTTAACAGGGATGGACACGTGAATAACATTTCTAAGTTAAACACCACATTATACCAGTAACTTGGACCTCCTTCCTGACCACTTTTGATCAACCAGATTCCTTCTACTAAGCAGAAATATTAAAATTATCTAGAATCTTCTCTAACAAAACAGTAAGAAAAACAGGCTAAAAGACAGAAATAGGCAATTCTTAAAAGATATGTAACTGGTGTGAGCATGAGAAATGGAAGTTTCACTAGTAAGTAAAGAATAAAAAAAAAGTATCTTTTTTCTGCCTCTTTTATAGGGGTTAAGATTGTTGGTTTTGAAGTCAAACTCTATCAGTTCAAATTCTAGTTTTACTTAATACTCATCATGTGACCCAGGATAAATGATACGATTTTCTCTGAGTCTCAGTTCCTTCTCCACAAAACAAGTGAGAGCAACAGTACGTCACAGAGATGCAGCGAGGAGAAAGTGAGGCATGCTTACTACGTGCCTAACCCAGAGTCGGGGACGTATGTAAGCTCAGTCGATGTTAGCTATAGTTAGTTTTAATATGGTTACTATTACTAAAATTTTAATATTCCTAGCTGATAATGATAATGCATTACCTTGAGAATCAGAATATAAATTATTATTTGTTACAATGAAACAAAACCTTTTTTTCCTACTGGGAAAGATGATAAATAAGAAGGTGATTGTCATTTTCCCCCTGTTCTGTCCATTGAGCAGCAGGTGTATAGGAGAACCTGGTGACATGTAGTTATGAGGCTGTCACTAAGCTCGCCATCAGATTACTCTGATGCTCAAAGCAATAACAGGATGAGGCAAAGTAGGTCGGCAAATATGTGAAATTCATCAAGAAATTAAGGTTTGGGTTCACCGGTGGTAGACATTTTATACTCTCCTGGTGTAAATCTCCACAAACTGGATTGCACACTGTCTCACCCCAATGTACCCAACAAAAGCCAACAACAAAACTACTATCGCCACTACCACCACCTATTGTACCCACTAGCAAACCTTTCCCCTCCTGCAGGAAGCCCTCTTGGTCAGCTCAGTCAAGCGCTGGGCTGCAAAGCAAAAAATGTGTACTCACTGCAGTCTCGGGCAGTTCAAACCCAGGGCTGTAAGAGAGGCATCCGTGAGGTTGCCGCAACCCGAAAGGCAGAGGGCCTGCAGGCGGTGGCAGCCCCTGCACAGCTGCACCACGCCTTCGTCGGTGACGTGCTGGGGACAAGCAGTGCAGGAAGGAAAATCAGAGGGCACCATCCATACCGACACAGGACCAGCAGAAACACAGGATCTACTGTTGCTGAATTAGATTTGCTTGCTGGTTACTAGCATTTTATCCTAATAACTTAAACGAATAAGGAGAAGTAGAGGGAAGACATGTACTTGTGTTATCTCTGCACGGCTTTAAAATAGTCTAGTAGTACTGTGGGCAAGTAAAAGTTTAAAATTCCATTTTCCCCCAATCAGAGTCATCAAACAAGTAGATTTAATTTTTTTTTTTAGGAAAAATGCATAAACTCATGATAAAAATTAGATTAAATAAAGAGCTCATGAGACTTGTCTGGTTAAGTGACATACTAGTATTTGGCTGATTATCTACAAATTAATGCTTTAGATATTCACCGTATAAATCATACATATGTATATTTATACTATTTCCTCAAATGTTTTAGAAAATAGGGCAATTAAATAAATCAATAAATTATTGAGAAATGCCCAAGAATTCTATGAATTTGGCCATGAAGATTTAAAATAATGTGTTCACTTAAATATACTAATTCATGTAGAAATAAATATGCACATCTAAACTATACATCAAGCCACCTGTCAGTGCTATTTCACACATAATTCAAGGTCCTATTTTTTGAACAGTTCACGCTCGTAAGGTCAAGATTTGTCCAGAAGATAATTTCTGTTTTCCTCCCACCAACAGGACTCTAAAGATTTATGATTCACGAACTAAAAGCTGAATGCAATGGCTTTTCTCTTATATTTCTCAAAATCTACGTTAATCTTGAGAAGCCCAGTAGGATGTAGCAAACATCCTCTTAAATAACCAGTATTCACAACAGCAGTGAAGAAGTACCAATAATGCCCTGATGAAAATGCCACCTTGCTCGTGCATATGTCGTTTATTCTTCAAAGCATTTTCACATCTATTATTTCATTTTATCTACTGAGACAATATGAAAGGCATCATTATCCCAAATTTATAAATAAAAAAAAGACATTCAGACCTTAGCATGAATTGTTTAGGTCTTACAACTAGTTAGTGACTAGTTCACAGCATTCCTGATATCTTCCTCAGTACTCTATTCAAAACAATTAAGACCTGATCTATATTATTTTTAGGGGAGATGTCAGTGGCTTTGTATTGAGTGTGATGCCTCTTTCTTGCTACTCTTTCACCTTATGGCAAATTGATAGATTATATAAGGACATAGATGAGAAATCAGGGTGTGGCAACCTGCTGATCCTCTCAGCTGCCTAGGGGGGCTGCATGGTGCGCCCCGCAGCAGATTCCTGGGGGAGAGAATATGCAGCATGACAATGCTTAGGAACAGTATGTTACTTACTGAGCAGGACTGTAAATTGAGGCTCACAAGCTGTGCTGATCCTCTCAGCTGCCTAGGGGGGCTGCATGGTGCGCCCCGCAGCAGATTCCTGGGGGAGAGAATATGCAGCAGGACAATGCTTAGGAACAGTATGTTACTTACTGAGCAGGACTGTAAATTGAGGCTCACAAGCTCATGGCAGTAATTCTGAATGTGTTTCAGAGCTTCGTCTTCTAACTGATGGACAGAGGAAAAAAAACAGGGATGGAATCCAGGTGAGGCAACAATGGGCACCAAGAAAAATACAACAGCAAGTTCCCTGCTGAAGTGCCCTGACATGTAAGACGTACAGCTGGATCGACACTTTGGTACCTGTGTGCAGCCCCTCAGGAGCAGGGCTTTCAGGCCTCGACAACCTCGCACCAGCGCCTCAATGCCATCCTTCGTGATCTGATCACACCAAGAGAGGTTCAGGTATTCCAGGTTACGGCAGCCCTCACTGTGAGAACAAGAAACAAAAACACCCATGTGCAGTCTCTCCTGTAGAGAGTTTATTGCCAACTTTGAGTTTAGAACATCATAAGCAATTCAGAGGGGGAGATAATCCCTGGGACCTGAGTCACCTATTTCTTGCTACCATTGGACCATTAGGAAGGCTTCAGACACACCAGAATGTTCATAGCTTTGGGTACTTCTCTTGACCACAAACAATGGGTACTCTTACCTGATTCCCTTTAAGGAGCTGTTTGTAATAGACACACAGGAGGTCAGATCCAGGTGTTTCAGCTTGGAACAGAATCTGCTAAGGCTATAACACGTGCTGAAAAAGAGCAGACGCACTAAAGATATTTTCAACCATGCTTCTCTCCCCTCAGTCTCCCCATGACCATTTAGTCACCAAACTAATCCTCATTACTTACCTGTCAGTGATTTTTGTACACCCATTTAGGTTTAAGTGTTCAATGTTTCGGCAGTTCTGTGCGAAGGTCCTAAAATGAGAAAACATTTTAAAACACCCTGCAAGTTGCTGAGTGGCCACTAGAGGGCACGTGTAACCATTCACATTTAGAACAATGCTCCTCAAACCTTAACGTGCTCATCAGTCACCGAGGGCTCTGGTCACGGCTGGTAGACCTAGGGTGGGGCTAGACTGTCTGTAGTTCTAAGAAGCTCCCAGGTGATGTCAGTGCTGCTAATCTGGGACCACATTTTGAGAAGCAAAGCCCTAGACTACCTATCAGTCATATCTACACCCACACCTTGGTGAGTTATCTGAGAATGGAGGCCAGGCTCCCTGTTTCTTCTCCTCTATAGAAAAATCTGTTTGAAGCAAGGAGCAAATCTTTCTTGTATTGTGCCATGCTTTCATTTGATTGCCCTAGAGCCTTTCTGGAGAAACCATGTCTGGCCACTGATAGGGGTTATAGGTGACCAGTGTCAAGACCCACCCATTTGCTGGTGAGGATTCTGAGTCATGAAGGGCTACTTTCTCAATAATCTGTGGGTTGATAGCAAGGTCAGAAGCAGAAAACTAAACATTCCCTATTCACTACTCACCGCTTAACATATTCAGAAAGGACTGGCTCATATCATCTGCATTTTCCTGAAACACAGCTTCAAAATATCTTATAGGTTGAGTCCTGATTCTTCCAAGAAGTACCCAAGCCTCTAAAACCTGGCCTCAGACCAGATGTCACTCTTATCTGCTTCTTCTGACCTGCCATGGTGCAGGAAGGGGGAACCAAGCTGGAACTGGATGGACTCTCTGATATGAGGAGATGGAACTGAAAGTTTGGGATGACCAAGGCAGCTAGCATTATTAGATAAGAGTACTGGAGTGGAACAGAACTTCACAAAGAGAACTCCAGAGATCTGCAGAGGTTGCCCCTCAAGAATTCAGTAAAGTACTGATCAGCAAATGCATGTGATAAAACTACCCAAGGCTGAGAAAGAATCAACAAAAAACATTAGAGCTCACCCAGGGAGAGGAACAGTGTCCTTTGCCACCAGCCAAGAATGAAAAAAGTCTAATTTATGGAGGATTGGGTAGAGCACTGAGAAGGGTCTTGCTTCAGGAGAGAAGTACAGTGAGCCCTAGACTAAACACTGCTTTGGTCCAACTTAACAAATCTTAAAAACAAGATCTGAAAGGAACTACATTTTCAAGTAATTTGATGGTGTCCCAGAACAAAAGTCAAGAGTATTTATAGGAATACAAAAATATCTGTACCCGACAATGTCTGGTATTGAACAAAAAGTTATCATGCTTTCAAATAAGGAGAAAAAGGTATCCATAATGAGAAGAAACTTCAATCTATCAAAACCTACCCAAAATTCATGGAGCAGAAATAGAAGGCAAGGATATTAGAAGTTATTGTAACCATATTCCACAAAATGCAGTTCTATGAAGCTGAAGATTAAATGTTATATGAAGACATGAAAGATAAAAAAAAAGAAAGAAAAGACCCAAATTTAACTCTTAGATATGAAAACCACAATGGCTGAGATGAAAATTTACTGGATGGGATTAAAAACAGATTAGATATAGGGCTGAGCCCGTGGCGCACTCAGGAGAGTGCCGCGCTGGGAGCGCTGGGAGCGCAGCAGTGCTCCCGCCACGAGTTCGGATCCTATATAGGGATGGCCAGTGCACTCACTGGCTGAGCGCAGTGCGGCTGGTCTCAAAAAAGGACAAAAACAAAAACAAAAAACAGATTAGATATAGAAGACAAGACTAGTGAACTTGAAGACACAGCAACAGAAACTACCCAAAATGAAACAGAGAAAAAAGAAAAGAGAAAAAGAACAGACCACAAAAGAACTGTGGGACAATTTTAAGCAACCTAATATATGTGTGACTGGAGTCTCTAAAGAGGAGTGGGGTGGGGTGGGAAAAATATCTGAAGAAATAATGGCCAAAATTTTTCCAAACTCTATAGTATGAAAATTATAAACCCACAAGTCCAAAGAACTCAAAGAACCCCAAGCACAAGAATCATGAAGAAAAATACAGCCAGGCATATCATAACCAAATTGATCAAACCAGAGATAGAGAAAATCCTAAAAGCAACCAGAAAAAAAAAAGATATATTATATACAGAGAAACAAAAATAAGTGTGATGGCAAAATTTCTCATTGGTAGCATCCATAAAACACTGAAAACAAAACAAAAAAAACCCTGTCAATGTAGCAAAATATTTTTTAAAATGAAGGAAAAGGTTTTTTTTTCAGACATAGAAGAACTGAAAGAATTACTCAGATCTGCAGAAAAAGAAATGTTAAAGAAAAAAAAATAATACCAGATGAAAATATGTGTCTACACAAGGGGATGAAGAATATTGGAAATGGTAACTACTTGGGTATACACAATTTTCTGTTTATTTAAATCTCTTTAAAAATAATTGACTGTTAAAAACAGTAACAATCTAGTGTGGAGTTTAGATCATAAGTAGATAAAAACATATGACAATAGCATGAAGGCTGAGTGAGGAGAAATGGAAGTGATATGCAATATAATCTGAAGGGAGACTGTAGAAAGGTAAAGATGTACACTACGAACTCCAAAGCAAACACTACAATTATGAAATAAAGAGTTATAGCTACTAAGTTAAAAAAGAATATAAAACGGAATCATAAAAAATATTAAACCAAAAGAAGGAGGGAAAAAAGGGAAAGGGGAAGATAGAACATATGAGACAAATAGAAAACAAATAGCAAGATAGTAGATTTGAACCTAATCATCAATAATCACATTAAATGCAGATGGTCTAAATATCCAAATTAAAAAGCAAAGATTGTCATATTAGATAAAAAACAACACCCAACTAAATGCTGCCTATTAGAAACTGACTTTAAATATAGATACAAATAGGTTCAAATAAAATGATGGGAAAACATATATAATGCCAACACTAATTAAAAGAAAGCTGGAGTGGCTGTACCAGGCAAAGTAGACTTCATGGCAAAGAATATTACCAGGGATAAAAGAAAGCCATGTCATAATGAAAAATGGTCAGTTCATCACAAAGACATAGCAATCCTTAATGTTTATATACCTAATAACACAGTTTCAAAATACAGGGAAAACAAAAACAAAAAACTGACAGAACTGCAAGGAGATATAGACAAAATTATAGGCAGAGATTTCAATACTCCTCTCTTGATAGTTGATCAAATAGTCAGAAAATCAGTAAAGATACAGAAGATCTGATCAATGCTGTCAACTAAGTTGACCTAATCAGCATTTATAGAACATTTCACCCAACGACAGCAGAATACACATTCTCTCCCAGTACACACAGGACATTTACCAAGAGAGACCACATTCTTGGCCACACAACAAGTCTCAATAAAATTAAAAGGATTCAAGTCATACAATGTTCTGTAATCACAATGGAATTAAATTAGAAATCAATAACATAAAGACATCTGAAAAATGTCCATACATTTGGAAACGAAACAATAGACTTCTAAACAACCCATGGGTCAAGGAAGAAATCAAAAGGGAAATTAGAATGCATTTTGAACTGAATGAAAACAGAGCTTATCAGAATTTGTGGAATGCTACTAAATCAGTACTTTAGGGGAAATTTTACAGCACTAATCCCTATGTTATTTTTTTAAAAGTCTCAAATCAATTATTTCAGCTTCTACTGTAAGACACTAAAAAATAGAAAGACTAAATGAAGCCCAAAGTAAACAAAAGAAAGGAAATAACAAAGATCAGAGTGAAAATCAGTGATGTAGAAAACAGGAAAACAATGAAAAATGAGTGAAAATAATAGCTGGTTCTTTGAGAATATCAATAAAACTAATAAACCTCTAGCCAGACTGACCAGGAAAAAAAAATGATAAAAATTGCCAGTTTCAAGAATGAGAGAGGAGGTATCACTGTAGATTTTACAGATATTAAAATTATAAGAGGATGTTGTAAACAACTTTATGCCAATAAATCCGAGAACTAAGATGAAATGGACAAATTTCTTGAAAGACACAAAATATCAAATGTCACTCAAGAAGAAGACAATCTAAAGAGTTCTATAAATATTTATTAAAGAAACTGAATTTATAGTTAAAAAACTTCCCCCAAAGAAGCAGGCAGGCTCAGATGGCCTCAATGGTGATATTTAAGGAAAAAAACATTTAAGAAAAAGAAATACAAATTTTACATAAATTCTTCCAGAAACTGGAAGAGGAGAAAATATTTCCCAATTCATTCCATGAGACCAGTATCACCTTGCTACCTAAACTAGGCAAAAACATTACAAGAAAAGAAAATCTTGTGACAATATTCCTCATGAACATGGATGCAAAAAATCTTAACAAAATTTTAGCAAATAGAATCCAACAATACATAAAATATATATAATACATGACAACTCAAGTGGGATTAACCAAGGGAAGAAGGTTGGTTTAACACTTAAAAATTGAATCAATGTAATTCACCATAGTAATGAACTAAAAAAGAAAAACTGTATGATCATCCATATAGATACAGAAAGAGCATTTGACAAAATCTAACATCCAGTCCCAATTAAAACAAAGCAAAACAAAAGAACTTTCAGCCAACTAGGAATAAAAAGAAACTTCCTCAGTTTGATGGTTATCTGCAAAAAATCAACAGCTAACATCATACTTAAATACTTTTCCCTTAAGATTAAGAACTTGGCTACGCCTTGCGGTAAGGAAAGAACGTCATTTTATGACAGGTCCAGGAACCTCAAGATATTTTGGGGACCTCAACAAGAGAGGTATTCACTAAATTCCTACAAGGCATCACAGATACAGTCTGAGGGTGAATCAAATCTTCCTTTTGGCTTCCTAAGCCTTGAGAGGCTTTTAAGAGTTTAATCTGAGATTCCTAATAACAGTCCCAGAAAAGCCAATGTAAAAAGAGCCTATATAATAAACCACTATTCTTGTTGCACTTTATGCAAATAATCAGGCCAGGGACTAAACTTATTTTGCAAATGAATTAGTCTTATCATAAACATCA